TCTCTCTCTCTCTCTCTCTCTCTCTCTCTCTCTCTCTCTCTCTCTCTCTCTCTCTCTGTTTTTTGATGTTGTTCTTTAACTTTTCTCTTTCCCTCTCTTTTCTCTCTCTCTTCACTGAAGAGACAATTACTCTAGCATGAAGAGTTAATTCATTTCCAAGATATGACCACCTCAGTGACAGCAACTTCAAGCTCAACATCTTTAGTCTATTTTACACATAAGGAAATAGAGGTTTTCAGAATGTAGAATGGTCGATGGGTGGCAGCATGATGCCTCAGTGGGAAGAGAATACATTTCTGAGCTATCCAGCATCAACATTGAACCCCAGCTCCATGTTTTTGTGTGACCTACTTAAAAACATTGGACTACACATTTATCATCTTTTAAAAAAAGGCAATGCCTCCTTATAAGAGTAATGTAAAAATGAAGAACACCTTCTACTGCATCTCCCCATTTTCCAAGTAGATGACCAAGGCCCACAGTGAATGAATGAGAGAAAGAAGCCAAGACACGTTATCTCATTCAAGCACTGCATTCTCAGTCTATTCTTTTAGGTTACCCCTTCCTTAGTCGAAATATCATGGTCTTTAGAAGTATAAACATTGGTTCTTCAACACATCTAGACTCAAAACTGAACCCAGCCATTCATAGCTAAACATATTTGTTTTTCCTTCGGTAAAATGAAATAACATAACATTTTCAGAGAAATGCAATGGTGTGATGCTTACAAAGAGTTCAGCTACTGTGTCCAGAGTAAGAACTCCTAATTATGGGGGGAAGATCCTACTGTATGAACACTACCATTGGAGGACAATGGCAATAGCCAAACTTACTTTTATGTTTCAGAGCCTACTTGGATGTTAATGAGCTAAAGAACATTCTTAGACTGGACGGATCAACACATCTCAATATTTTCTTTGCAAACTCTTCAGAGGAGGAGTTGGCTGGAGTAGCAACTTGGCCATGGGACAAGGAGGCCCTAATGCACTTGGGTGAGTTTAAGAATCCTTCAGAAGATACTTAGAGCAATAGTTTGGATCTTAGTGTGAGGAAGACTTCAGCATAACCATAATGGTGGAGGCAATAATGGTGGTGGGAATAACTCATTTGTTTGTTTAATTCACAAAACACTTGTATCTCTGACCCTACCTCTGGTCATCAAGAAATCTTCTGAAGGAACGAGCTGTCTGGACAGCTCTTAGACAGAGAGCAAGAAAGGTTTATCCAAGGTTATGCAAGTATCGAGGAAGCCTGAGTTAGAGTTCAAGTTTCTGGCTGTATCCAGAAACTGTATTCTTCTTGTACCTCCTTTTTCTAATTCATGCATACTTCTTGGCCTGGAAAACACATTATTCTGGCATAGCTGGGCTAAGGCAATCCTGAAAGATACCAAAGAAACAATAGAAACACAATGTATAGAGACTTCTCTTCCTCCAGGTTCTGTCCAACAGCAACCTGGGGAAATCTTCTGATATTTAAATTATGTATGTTTATAAACAGCACATCAGTTTCTGCAGGTAAATCTTTAGAATTCAGAAATGGCAATCATCCCTGAACCAGTGGATGCAGAAAAAAATTACTGTTCTTTGAATGTTTATTTTTTCCATATTCTTGTCCAGTGTACATAAATGTGTAGAGAGACCATTTTTACTTGTATAAACTTGAAATTAAAGTATAGGCACAATTTTCAATTCTGTTCATTTGATGTTCTCAGCTAGCTATCTACATGTTTCCATATTACAGGAGTCTTACAATTACTTCCTGTTGTACATTTTTTTCACTTAGAATCACAAGAGAAAAGCATCCTTTTGGTTTATTTACACTTCTCTAAAGATATATTTTTTTTAAATAACCATTATAATATTCCATTGAGAAAGGCACTAGAGTAGGTTTAACAGTTTTCCCTCAATAAAATTCCCTCATTGTTTACAACAAATGGGTTCTGATGACTCTGTGAGATTCGTGGTTTGAGAATTCCTAGGCTCAGCAGAATGGCAGTGCTGGACATACTCTCAGGCCAGCATGGTCAATAATAAACCCAGAGTCTAGTAGCTACTTTTCTGGTTATTTGGAAGATGGTCACATCTATAACTTCAGCTGAAGAAAACTGTGGTAAATCAAATTATGGGCTTAGATCTCTATTAGTTGTAGAGGGATGAAGCTAGGATGTGTAAGAGAAGAGAGAGAAAGGAGGGGAGAGGGGAGAGAGGGAGGGAGGGAGGGAGGGAGGGAGGGAGGGAGGGAGGGAGGGAG